TCGGGAGAGGGCGGAGCTGGGAGCACAGCAGCGCTCCCGCCGCGGGTTCGGATCCTATGTAGGGATGACCGGTGCGCTCACAGTGTTCACTGGCTGAGCGTGGTGCGGCCGGTCTCAAAAAGGACAAAAAAAACCCCCNTGTGCTCACAGCGCTCACTGGCTGAGCGTGGTGCAGCCGGTCTCAAAAAGGACAAAAAAAACCCCCAAAAAACATAAGGTGCTCAGTAAACGTGTCAGGTGAACAAATGAATGTCTACAGATGCCATGTCTCCATATCTTACCTTCTCTAACCTTGCTGCCTGCTCTCCTTCCCTCCACGGCCAGGCTTCTGGAATACACTGTACCGGTCCATCTCCCTACTCTACCATTCTGGGTTCCCAGCCCCAGCACTGACACAGACCCTGAACTCTAGGGTGTCCAGCGTGCTGCATACTAAAGACCCAGCTCTGGTCTTTACTCCCCTCAGCCTCTCTATGGAATGAGTACTACTCATGCCCCTTGACACTCACTCCTCCCTTGGCATTAATGATACCCAGCACCCCCACATCCTCCCCCACACCTTTCTTCTACCTGCCCCCCTACATACAGGTGTTTCCCCATGTCTTGTCCTAGGCCTACTTCTCCCACATCACACTCAACCCTTAGATGGCCTTATCTTCTTTATGTTCCTGGAATTTTTTCCAGCTGTTTTGTGTTTGATTCATATGGGACAATATCACATGACCTAAAATGCATACAGTCCTTTTTTTCACCTAAAAATAATGACATCTGACACTACTATCCAAAAAAGTTTTAGCTGGACCTGGAAGAGCACACTGCTCCTGGGTTATAGCTTTGCTGACTTGATAAACAGTGATAGTCTGTGGACCCTGCAGCTCTCTGGAGTCCTCAGCCAATGTTCTGAATAAACTCACAGCAACACTGTTGCTGACCTGGAAGACAGCTGTTTTCCTGCAACAGCCTCAACATCACCTGCACGTCCACAGTTCCCAGGTGAGGGCATCCTCACTCCCAGACTGAGGGCATCCAAGGTGTTGGGTCTTCCCTGTCCACAGCCTAATGTCCCCAGTGCTATAAGCACTCCTCGGAGGTCCTGCCCTGAAGCCACTGACTTCCACCTGGCTGGTGTCCAACCACAAACTCCTCCTGCCAAGTCATATACCTTCTGATGCTCAGCACACTACCAAGCATACAGCAGGTACTCAAATGTTCACTGGCTGGTAAGTCATGGTGCCCAGATCAGGCTGTGCCCACAGCCTGCTGGTTCACTCAGCTTTTCCCAGGGGTGGGGGTGGGGACGGCTGGTCACAGGCTCCAGATGTCCAGTCCCTCAGAGCCCTGCTGGTGGGGGGAGGGGCTGTGGCAGATGGCTCAGCAGCTCTAATCAGACAATCGCCTTAATCTCACCCCCTGAGACTGGCTCCCCAGGCTTTGGCAGCAACTGTTCCACAGAGCCAGGGTGAAGGGCATCAAACTTGCTATCAAAACGTGCCCCCCATAGCAGGGAGGAAGTCAGGGGGAAGGACGCCTCTCCTGAAAGGTTCCTGTCTTGGTGGATGTGAATCAGAGGCGGCCCCTGCTGGTCTGAAAGCTCTGCGAGGGCGCCACCTAGAGTCCAAAGCCAGCATTGCCTGAGATCGGGAATTGGAGCTCGGTTACCAGGAAAAACCGAGCCCAGAGCCTGGAGGGGAGAGCGGGGTGGTGGTGAGGGGGGGACAGAGGAGGGGGGCGAGAGGAAGAAGCGGGGGGAGGGGAAGAGGCGGAGGAGGAGAGCGACACAGAGAGAGGGAGCGGGGGCGGGGCACACAGCCGCATATCTGACAGATTTATTTTCTTTTTCAAACCTAAAAATCTTCAAATCTTTTTCGTAAAAATGCAGTATTGGTTAAGTAAGGTCATGGTGAATGGTTTATCAAGCGCTCTCCGGAGTGCGTCCTGTGGAAAAGGCAGCGTTAGGGCTGGTGCTGGGGTTTGAGCCCAGATCTCGGGGCAGGGGTGAGCACCGCCCACTGCGTGCGGGGAGGGGGCGCCCACCTGCCTTGCGGGATTAGGCTACGTGGCCAGTCCAGGACAGAGAATGACAGAGAATGGAAGGGGTTCTGCCCGGTGGCGGGGCACGAGACCCCGGCCCCGAGCAGCCCCCTTCTGTGCTCAGGCCCCAGTGACAGTTCCTCTCCATGGGCCTTTTAAACCATCGCACTCCCCCAGGCTGTAATGAAGTGTCTCTGCGGTGCTGACGGCGGCTGTTTTCCTGCCTAATAGTTGATGAAGCCAGTGCCCCAGCTGCCCAGGGAAGGCGGTGGGAGGAGGATTCACCGCCAGGATGACGAGGCCGGCTGTGCCGTCCGAGCTGCTCCTCATCCCAGTGGGACCATCCTGCCGTTTCCTAATGGGACAGGAGCGCCCACTCTGCCCCTTAATTATTAAACAAATGTTCGGTGATTCGGGGACTCACAGCCCCTCCTCAGAGAGCAGAGGAATGGCCTGTTGTAGGGGTGGGGGTGGCACTGCGCTGACAGGTGACACACAGGGACAAGACCACAGCCGAGCAATAGCTTCTCCAGTAGCCACATAGCACGGGCGCTTCCGAGGCAGCTGCCCCGAGATGACAGCATCCCTGCCTGACGGACACATGCTCAGCACGCAGTGCCCAGCAAGGCTCTGGTCACCCCACCCCCTTCCCTCCTCCTTGGCCAGTGACTGAAGTCACGGCTCAGGAGAGCTGCCCCCGCCCCATTCTGCGGGAAAGTAGAGAGCTAACTGAGGCATACCCTTTCTGCTCGGGCTGTCAGGGAACTCAAAGGTAGACTTACAGACTCGCTTCTCCACGGATGCTGCTGCCCAGCTCCCGGGAGCTCCATCCCTCACTGCTGGGTTCCACATGAATGGCGCCCCCTGGAATTGTACAACAGAGCCTCGCCCCCAAGGTCCTCCACATGGCTGAACTGGGAGGACACTCGGGTACTTATGCTACAGGAACTTTCTGCAGTATTTGACCCTGTTGGCTTCTGGCTCCCCAAATGCTGTTCTTTTAGTTTCTGGGACACTGTGTCCATCTCTCTGACAGCTGTATTTCCCCTCCTCCAGTGCCAGGAGTCCCTTTCTGCATCTCCCCCACTCCCAATCTTACTTCCCACCACAGGCACCTGATCTCCAGCCTGTACATTCCCCCAAGGTGTCCCATGGGCACTTTGGCATCTCCCCATCCCTCAACCTGCTCCTGCAGCGAGGAACACCAGGTGTCCAGGATAGAGTCCTCTTGCCTCTTCTCGTCCCCACATCCAAGCCACCAAGTCCAGCCAGATTGGCCTTCTCAATACTCCTCAAATCTGATCCGTCCTCTTTCCCAACACCTACCAGCCTAGTTCAGGATTCTCTTTTCTTCTTCCTTTTTTTTTGGTAGCTGGCCAGTACAGGGATCCGAACACTTGAAACTTTGGTGTTACACCACATTCTAATCAACTGAGCTAACTGGCCAGCCTTAGTTCAGGACTGTCAAACACATGCTCCCCGTCTAAATTCACCATCCCCTATTGCCACTGCAGCCCGCAGAGTGAGCTTCACAAGTCTGACCAGGACATTCCCCTGGGGACAACTACTTCAGTGGCTCCCCAGTGTCCTCAACTGAGCAGCCATGCTCTTGCACCTGGCACCCAGCCCTGGACAACCTCCCTCCCCAATCTCATTTGCTGCCACAACTTCCACCAGAGGTGGCTCCTGACTGATATACCAACCTGCTTGTCAACCTCCAGCACACCCTGAGCTGCTTCCCACTGCTGCTCACGCTCTCCGCTCCTCCTGGGATGACACCCTGCTCTCTGCCACACTCTGTCCTAACTGGCCTTTACCCACTGCACCCCAGACTGAACTAATCCTGTTTTCTTGCACTGCTCTGCCTCTCTCAGTGCACTGCTCCTGCTGTTGAAGTCAGTCCCCCCATTGAACTATGAGGTCGTTGGGGACAGACTGTGCCTTGGCCATCTTTGTGTCCCCAGCACTCAGCCCAGCACCTGACCCAGAGTGGGCATTCAGTGAGCATTGGCTGAACTGACCCAAATCAGTGCCTATGCACCCACCACTCCTATAGACTCTGAAGTCACCTTCTGGCTGTTCTTTACATTGCCCTGTTGCACAGGTGTGTTTAATGCAATCCACTTCCTCCAACTGTGCAGGAGGGACAGTGTAAGCAAAAAAGAAAGGAGCCTTTGGCAGGATGCCAGTGAGTGGAGGATGGTGTCTAGGAAGGGGGCCCTCTGAACAGCCCCGCACACTACCCCTACTGCCCCAAGTTGCTCCTACCTTTCTCAGGGTCCTTCAGGCTCGAGCGGATGATCTCCACCACTTTCTCCACCTCCTCGCCGTTGCAGACGTTGAGCTGCATGGTCCTCAATCAGTCACTGTTCAAGCTGTCCAGCTCCTTGACCCCATCATGCCCTTTGTCCTGGGGAGGAGCGATGGGCTGCTTCAACCTCCCTCTGTCCCACTCTGAGGCAGACTCAGGAAGAGGACCTTGGCTAAGGCAGGAGCTGGCCCCAAGTCCCTGCCAAAGTCTCAGGCCTCTCAACAGCAGATGGTACTTTCTGGAGGCTCAGCCAGGCCTGCCCCATTAGCAGGCAGTTCTATTCAATCCCCAAGCACTGATGACATGTCAAGTACCAAGCTAAGTGCCAGAGACACAGCCATGAAATAGGATGGAGACCTTGCCCTGAGGCCTCACTGACAGGATTCCTTCTAAGGGGGGGTTGCACACTCACATGGGCATCAGGGGAGGGCGGGCACCCTAGGGAGTAGAGCACATGCCAGTTGTTACCCATGTGCCCATATAAGCCCAGGGTTAGCAGATGCTTAGGTTTTTAAGCTAGTAATTAGGATTTCTGTGGGAAATCTAATTTTTTAAGTGTCAACAACTTATTCACACTAAAAAAAACCCAAAAAACAAAAACACTGTGTGGGCCAAAGCATGCCTACCGGCCACGTATGACCAGCAGCTGCCAGTCTACCACCTCTGTTCTGAGTCAAGGGCCCATCGACCCCAGAGCCAGGCTCTAATTCCAGTTCAGTCACTAAGCGGGCTCTGTGCACTCAGGTGTGTTCCTTAACAGTTGCTTAGTTTTTTTGGCTGTAAAATAAGAACATCACTTATTTCACCATCCTGACCTGCTTGGATTAATGGAATAAGGAAATAGATTTTTAAGAAACCTGCTAAACTAGAAAGCACTACACAAATTCAGGTATTATTAAACACGGGGAAAGTGTCACTCATTCAGCAAATATTTCTGGGGCCTTCATCACGGTCTGGCACTGTACTAGGAACTGGAGACATGAAGATAACTCAGCACCTGTTCTCAAAGAGTCTGGTTCTAGGGAAGGGGAGAGATGGGTAAGCAAACACTACAGTGAGTATTTGCTGTATGAAGCCTCCTGGGAGGTGGGAGGGGTGGGCAGGGGAGATTTTTCAAAGACAGTGACAGCTAAGGACATTGACAAGAGGGGGGTCGAGGGGGAGGGGGCACTTTAGGAAGAGGTAAGAGGAGGCCGCCATAAGCCCTCTGCTACAGGCAAGCAGTGGTCAGGAGGCTGGGCAGGGGTCGGCTTGGGGGCACTGGGGAGCTGCTGAAGCGTTTTTGTAAAACTAGACGTCACTGAGCACTCCCTGTGCTGCACATTGCACCACGTGTTTGACATGCTCCATCTCATTAGCCCTCACGTCATGAGGCAGGTTGTGTTACCACATTTCCTCCTATTTTATGATACACACTTTTTGCACAATAGGGATGAGCTACACTTGATGTGAAAATTAAACACTGTCAATCATAACTTAACTGGCAGCAGTGTTCCTGAGAGGTGCATGGAGTAGAGGTGCCTCTTACAAAAGGACTGGAGTAGCTGCCAGAGAATGAAGTGATAGAGAAATGCCCACTCTCCAGCCCAGGCACTGCCTGGGGCATATCCAACTGGTACTGAAGCAAACACCCGTGGCAAGAGTAGGAAGCCTGAGATGGTCAGCATATGCCAGGGGTGGAAAGTTCTCTACAGGTTAGGCTGAGCCTAGCAAGCGGTATGAACCACGATGGCCCTAAAGCCAGTACTGGAGAAACTTCATTATGCAATTTCAGAGAGACATAGGAGAAAATGAAGGGACCCTGTCAAATGGGGCCAAAGGTGCTGGAGATAATCACTCCAGAGAGAAGACTCAGGATGAACACGACTGAGGGAGCCAGCTTGTTCTATGTGGCCCCAGAGAACAGAACTGGGGCCAAAAAAATCAAGTTTGGCTCAAAATGAGGAGTGACTTTCACAGTCTGGAGGTGGCAGGGACTGTCCAGGAGGTGTTTACACAATGACTGGGGGGGGATTGTTTGTAGATGGGGGGAATGTGGTGCAGAGGTGATAAGGCATCAGATGGGGGGTCGGGCAGCTAATCTCCCTCTAATTCCCTTCCATCCCTAAACTGTTACCACTGCAGCTTGGTTTTCCATCTGAAAGGAGCCTCCCTAACGCTCCTTTGAAGAAGCAGCATGGTGCGATGCACTGAGTCTCATTCTCAGGCCTTCAGGCTTCTTTTGGTAAACATGAACATAACATTCCGTGGCCTCCAGACTCCAGGGCACAAACGGTAAGCTCTCCAGGTAGTTCTCCCAAAGTCCACTTCTTTTTACTTGAGACCAGCGGGGAAATATCACAGCACACTAACAACTCTTTCCAACCTCTCAACCTCTTCCACATCAATTTCTTAGAATATGAAGGTGGGGATCGGCTGAGGCAGAAAGGTTGTACATACAACCTCTCAGCATGTGTTATCAGGTGATCTAGCACGACAGGGCAGGATGGGAGGGCACTCAGCACATGTCCTCTGTGAGCACTTATCATATGTATTAGAAACACTGTGATGAGAGGGGAGGACTGAGGCAATATAATACGTACAGGATGCACAGGAGCAGGAGCTAATAAAGGACACGCAGAAGAACCAAGAGCATGAAGTCAAGAAACAAGGTGTTACAAGCAAGAGTGGGTAATTTGGTGAAACACTGCTGCTGGGGTGAGTATGACGTGGTCTGAGAAGTGGCCAATAGATTTGGCAAAATGGGGGCCGTTGGCATATTGATAAAGGCCAGGTCAGAGGCAGTGGGTTCCTTCCTGGCCTAGTCCTCCTTTCCTTTCCCAGCTCACCTCCTGTTCCTCCACCAGGCACTGGGCTTCGGCTGCCTCAAACTGCTGGTGGTGCCGGGATGTGCCACCTCCACCCATTTATGGGGAACTCTCACTTGTCCTTCCAGATGACGAGGAGATGCCACCTCCCAGTAAGCCTCACCTGTGCTCACAGGGACCTGCACCCGGCCCCTCTCCTCTCAGTCCCTCTGCTTCAGTCACGGCAGCCTCCTGTGGCTTCTCAAACACACATGCACACTCACTCCTCTGGGGCTCTGTGCTTGGCTGTTCCCTCTTCCCCCAGACATCTGCACCACTTGCTCCTCACCTCCTTTGGGTGAGGGAGCTCCAATACAGCTTCTCAGTGAGTCTTTCTTCCCTCTTGAAAAGTGAACACCCCCTCCACCATGTTCACGCTCCATCTTCTTTTCCTGTTTTATTTTTCTCCATAACCTCCATCATCCCACAGAGAAGCAATTTACTTATTTACATTATTCTCTGTCAATTTCCCCCCTTGGAATATAAGCTCCACAAAAGCAAGAACTGTTTGCTGAACTGCTACATGCCAGATCTCCAACAAAGAATACTGTCAGCTTATCGTAGCTGCTCAATAAATATTTGTTGAATAAATAAACAAATAAAAGAGTAGTAGGGGCAAAGCCTGATTCATGTGGGTTTAAAAGAAAATGGAAGGTAAATATGTGAAAATATCTAGTATAAACAACCTTCTGGGGTTTCTTTTCTACAAAGGGGAGCAGAGAAATGAGGAAGTAGTGCACACAAGATGTGGTGGTATGCAGGTTGGGGTGTGTGTGTGTGTGTGTGTGTGTGTGTGTGTGTGTGTGTGTGCGTGCGTGCACCAAAATGATCCAGTAGAAAGTGAGGAGTTAATGGTGTAGGAGAGTGGAGATGTCTGCTGCAGCTTAGTTCTTGAGTTGGCCCAAGGCAATGACACCCAAAGTATGAGAGGAGGGCTAACTTTAAATAAGAGCAGGCAGAGTGTTTGGGTAGAGATGTAATCAGAATCAATCATGTGGCTCACATCTCAGAATCAGGCTGGAAACAAATCCCCCCTTTCAGCTCCTGTGACTTTACCCATGGTCTCTGGTGGCTCTGGCCACTTTCTGATTTGCATAACTAGCATGAGATACAAGGTGGAAGTACAAGGGTTAACACCAGCAGACGTAACCTGGCAATGAGCTTGTCTGGTACTTTCTTCATTGTCTTGTTTTTTGGTTTTGTTTTTTCCAGGTGGTTAGCTCGTACAGGGATTGAACCCTGGACCTTGGTATTACCAGCACAATGCTCTAACCAACTGAGCTAACCACCCGGCCTGGTACCAGTCACCAAATTTCAGAATTACTGCTGGAGGAGTGAGAGGACCTAAGGTCAGCAGTCTACTCCTATTATTGTAAGTAAGAGGAAACTGAGGCCAAGGGCGGGAAAGTGTTTGCCCAATTCCTGAGTTAGTGGCCAATCTGGAACTAGAACCCAAGGCCCTGACTCCTTCTTGAAGTCTCTTGTGCAGCACTGAGCAACCTCTACCCTGTGCTCTGACGTCAAGATGTGGCTGCTGTGACAGTGAACAAGCTAGCACAATAGCACAGGGGCTGAACATAGGACAAAGGACTTCTATGGCACAAGATGTTTTTGTTCCCCCCAGATCCCTCCCCAGACAGGTTTTCTCATGCACTGTCAGGAGGAGGAGACAGTGGTACAGCCTTTTGGCAACTGGGCAGATCTGAATAAAATCTAAAACCTGCAACCTTTCCAAATAGCACTTTTACATCTACAATTTTTTTTTAAGAATCACTAATGAAAGTGTGCAAAGATATATGTGCAAGGCACTTACTGAGGCTTTGTTTATAATAGCAAATGTCACAAATAATGTACACACCTTCGTTTAATTGACCTTGGGGCAGTAGATTGGGAAGACTCCCCTTTTCTACATCATATATTTCTGTATTGTTTCAATTTATTATGAATATGTAGTATTACTTTCATAATTCAAAAGTAGTAAAGATTAAAAAGATAAACGAAGCCTTCTTTGATCTGGAACGATTTTCAGAGCATGGCAATACAAATTATTTTTTGTACTTGTTTATATTATTGAAATTTTTACACTGAACAGATATTGTTTTTACAAAGATACCAAGTCTAGTCTAAAAAATTCCTTCCCTGAGTTCCTACTGCCTTCAGAATAAAAAAAAATGTCTCACCCACTGAGCAGAGACAGCGAGTTGTCCCAAACACCCATTCTTCCCTTCTTCAACAGCAGCAGAACCCAGCTTTTCAAGCAGAATGCATATTGTCTCAGAATACCCACCACATGTCCCAGCATCCCTCACAGCCAGGTAAGGCCACGTAACTAAGTCTGGCCAATAGAAGGAGACCACAGGTGATATATGTGCAGCTTCTGGGCCACGCCCTTAAGAGAAATACAAAATAAAACTACATTGAGATACATTTCTCACCTATACGATTGTCAAAAATCAAAAGCTTGAAGCACACTCTGTTGGTGAAATTGTGTGGAAAGAGGCACTCTCATACACTACTGGTGGGAATGTAAAATTACACAACTTCTTTGATGAGAAATTTGGGAATATCTTAAAAAATGACAACTTATTTTATTTACTCTCTGACCTAAAAGCAATCTTACTCCTAGAAATTTATCTTAAAGATAAACGCCCAACAATACAAAATACATATGTACAAGGTTATTCATTGTGGAATTGGTTGTAATTACAAAATATTGAAAACAACCTAAATGCTCATCCATAAGCGACTGGCAGAGTAAATTATGGTCCACACACACAATGGAGTGCTGTGAAGCTGTTAGAAAAGTGAAGATCTCCGTGAAGTCATATGGAGTGATTTCCAAGACATATTGTTAAGTTTTAAAAAAAAACACTAAAGAGTATATGCAATATGCAAACATTTGTGTAAGAACAGGGAAATGAGATTTCCAGTCAACATGGCAGAATAGATACTTCCCAGCATCACTTCCTCCCACAAATCAACCAATTTACAACTATAAAAAAGCAATGACAGCCAAGCTGGGGCCACTAGAGCTCAGGGGAAGAGGAGGAGAGACGTACGGAGTGCAGGAAGGCGGGAGAAGCCACGATGAGAGCAAGAAAAACTACTCTGACTGTTTTGAATCCTAGCTGCTTCCAGGCTGGAGCTGCTGAACATACGGAACAGGAGCCGGCAAAAGCTGCTGCTGTGCCTTTCGGATGAAGTTGCTTGGAGGCTGCAGGGAAGAGGAGGAACTTGGTGGCCCCCAAGCCAGCAAGATCACTGACAGGGTTCCCATGGACCCACACAGGAGCAAGGAGCCACAACAACTGAAAAAAGGAGACACTCAGAGACCAGTGAGTCATTGGAAGGGACCAGAGCATGGCCTGTCCCATGGGAAGAGTTTGGAGCACAGGTGTCAGGGGGAGACAGGCCCACTGGGGGAACTGGGGCACAGCAAGAACAGTTGATCTGCACTCCAATCAGCGTAGGACCCCTCAGAAGAGACTGGTCAGGAATAGAGAATTGCCTTGGGTGCAGTTTGATGAAGACTCAAGCCCAGACCAGAGTTTCTACACAACCCAGGTGCACTGGATTTCACTAGACCTGGGAGAACTTATAAAGTCAACCGTTAAAACCTGAACTGCACAAAAAGCCTTCCCTAGGAAATTAGCAGCAAAGCAGCAATTTAGCTCAACCACACAGCTTAAGTACTGGTCCCCACAAAAAGTTCCCCCATTTTAGAAGTAAGCAAAGGACAACAAATTAGTTCCAGTGCAGAGTTTAAGCGGTGGGAACCGCAAATAATCCAACACAGAACTGAAAGAAAAAACAAAGTACCTACAACCAGAGACAAAGTTTGATATTAACTGGTAAAGGTCTCATTTCACCAAAGAACACCTATAACACCTAGAAGGACTGGAAGTTCCCTGAGCTACCAAGCCAGAAAGAGGGGAGGGCCGGGGGCCTCAGCAATGCCTCCTGACATCTGCAACCAGTCCTGTGGGTGAAGGCCCTGGGCCTCGGCCACAACACCCAAGATGCACAACCAGCCCAACAACAACCACCGAGTCACCGCAGGAAGTGCCCCAGGCTCTCCCAAGCCAGGGCGGTGGGGGTCTGAGGGCCTCAGCCATTTCCCCCTGACACCCACAGCCAGCCTAGCAATGACTACCAAGCTGCAGCAAGAAGGGTCCCAGGTTCCTAAGCTGGGACAGTGGGGGCCGAGGGCTTCTGCCACACACCCCTGACATCTGCACCCAGCCCAGCAATGACCAAGCCACCACTGGAAGCCCCCCAGTCTCCCCTGTGAGAATGAGGGTGTGCCACAGGCCTCAATCCCACCCCTCCTCCTTCCTTCTTCCACCACATTTCCTTCCCCTTTCCCCTCTGTGCCTCCCCCTCAAGTGCTCTGCAAATCATAGAATGTAAAAAAATAATATTAATATTAAGAAATAAATAAATAAAATAAAAGAAGGGGGAAATGAAAGAATGGAGTGGAAAAGAGAGGAGGGAAAGTAACATTCCTCTGAATGTACCTTTTTGTGTAATTTTGACTTTACAACCTTGTTAATGTTTTACATATTCAAAAATTAAATCAACAGGAATGGGGGGAAAACAAAATACAAACAAACAAATGAATCACACTGTATGTCAAATAAATAATATCATGATAAAGAAAAAACAAGAATTAATCCAAATAAATTTTTTTTTTTTTTTTTGGCAGCTGGCCGGTTCAGGGATCTAAATCCAGGTAAGTTTTAGACACAGTACTTTATATACCTTCAGTCAATAGCCAAAAAACACCTTGTCCCTCATAGTCTGGCGGTTAGGCTAAAACAAAATAAAATAAAATAAAAACACTTTAAAGAAACATGAAGCACTTTTGTGGTGGCCATGGAGGTGTGCCGCCCAGACCTCTCTTCAGGAAAAGCTGCTGCAGGAGCCGATGACACACGCCTCCAGCAGCTGTACCTTCACATCCACTGTGGCATGAATCTCAGCCAGCAGCAGAGCATGGCAAGAACGCTGGGCCATGCTGGCCTGACGCAGGCCTCCTCCAACAGGCAGCCTTTGCTTGGGGACTCCCCATTGTCCCAGCCGAGACTCTCAGACTGCACAGCCGTCTGGAACTCTGCCGACCTAACCTTCTTTCCTTCCTATTTCTGCAACCCAGACCTGGGTTGCAATCGAAAGGCTTTCTCTGCCTTTTCCTGCCCCTTACCCTTTTATCCATTACAGGTGTTTCCCTAATCAATCTATTGCTCATCTACTCCTATTTTGGCACTGGCTTCTTGGAGGGTCTGAGCTGACACACCTACTTAGTAGGTTTGCAGTTTGTAATGGTGCAGTTTGTAATGGTATGAATGTAGCAATTCTGAAACAATTTTGTGTGTGTTGTAGGATTAACTAAATGAGTAAATACAGTGATATAGTTAGAAATGCAGGAGAAGTAAGAAACAAACATGGAATGAGATAAGCAAGGAAGAATACTGTGGTGTTGAATTGGAATAGGAGGTCAATATAACCTCATGATTTACTTATTTTATATATAAATATAACCTCATGATTTATTTTATATAATAAAAAATTTTATTATTTTATATAATAAACCAAGAGGTTATACTGGCTTCATATATATATATGTGAGGTAGATATAAATAGATCTAGTGTGTGCACATGTGTACTGTGTGTGAGTGTATATACGAGGAAAGTTTGTGGAAAAATAGAATTAAAAGAACACAAATCTTTCTAGGAACTTTTTGAAGCGCCCTTGTACATCTTCTAGCTCTAGTTCACTGAGAGAGACAAGAAGTGACAATACCCCAGACCTATTAGCAATGAACACCCCTAATATTCAGATCTCGGTTTCTAAATTTCATTAAAAGGGACCAGGTAAAAACACATGTCTACAAAGAGACATGTATTTGGGTGTTCATAGCAGCATTATTCATAATAGCAATCAAACATTTTAATCCAAATATTCATCAACCGGTAAGCGGATGTTTAAAAAAATGTAGTATATCCATACAATAGAATGCTATTCAGCAATAAAAATGAATAAACTGCTGACACAGTCTACAACATGGATGAATCTCAAAAACATTATGCCAGGTGAAAAAAGCCTGGCACAAGGACCACGCATTGTATGATTCCATGTATATGAAATGTCCAGGAAAGGCAAATCTAAAGAGACAGAAATCAGTGGCTGCCTAGAGCTTGGGGTGGGGTGGGGTTTAACTGTAAATCGTCAACAGGGAAAATTTTGAGTGATAAAAATGTTCTAAAAGTGGATTGTGGCGAAGGTTGCACAACTCTCTAAACTAAAGGAACTGTCCGCTAATTACTTTCGCTACCTCATGTTCCAGTGCTTCCCTTCATGCACCCCAAATTCCACTTGATGTGTCCCAAGCTTGCTTCCAAGCCTATTCTCAGGCGATTCCTTCTATCTGACAGGTCATTTCTCCCAGTCTCCACCTATGACAGCATTATTTATTCTCCATGCCCCAGAACAAATGTCACCTCCTTTGGCATGCCAGAATCAATCCCTCCCTTCAATGCATTCTCATTGAACATTCTTGCACATCCCTGAGAATCATTTACATTCTAATTCTTCAGCTGTGTCTGTGTGTGCTTGTCCCCTCACCACTGGACAGTGAGCTCCTTGGTGGCAGGGGCCAGGTCTTATACTTTTACAGCACCTAGTGAAGTGTCAGGTACATTATTAGCATTTGGCAAATGAGTAAACAAATAAATTAATGTATGGATGAATGGATGGATGGATGGATGGATGGATGGATGGATGGATGGACAAAGCTATGAAGAACAAGTGAGGCTGGGGCCAATGGAAAAGGTACAGACTGTTTTAAACAACAGACAAGCCAGTTTTTAGGAAAGCCAGTTTTTGTCCTACACATAAAGGACAATGGTGAAGATGACCCATCTCTTACCTTCTTCAAGTAGCCAGCAAACACGAGGAAGCCTTTTGAATGTAGAAGCTTGGCTATGGAGAACCCAAATCCAGAGTCACAGCTTGTGACCAGAACAGCTTTGATACCAACCTGTTTTAGAAGGTCAGATCACATGTTAGGAGCCCAGGGTCCTGAGGCACAGTGACCAGGCCTTCCACCCTCTGGGCAGTAAGAGTTAGTGCTTGTTGAGTGGCCTGGGCCTGGCCCTCCACACCTGGCTTTTGCTCTCTGGAGAAGTACCATGGTTACTGGAAAAAGCTTGGACTCAGAATCAGAAGACCAGATTCTTGGACTCAGAATCAGGAGACCACCAACTAATAATACTGCTTGGGGAAATGACTTGTGCTTTCAGGATCTCAATTTCCTCATCTACACTCACCATTACCATCATTGTCATTGTCATCATCATCAAAGCTAATGTTTATTGAGTATTTACCATGTGCGAGGCACTTCACATGCACGATTCTTACTTGATCCTCACAATAACCCCACATAGTAAGCATGATTATTATACCATGTTGCAAGTGAGCAAACGGAGACATTTTTTAAATGCCCAACATAGTGGTAGAAGTGGAATTGAAACCAGGGCTGAGAAATTCCAGAGTCTAAACTCTTAACCCCTAACTTGCTAGGTACAGGGGATGGGTGACGTTCTGGATCCCCACAAGACCTACACTGACACCTTCCTGGCTGGGAGGGGTCCAAGAGCCTCATTACCACTTCCCACATGTATGGGAGTGTATGGTCTCATTATTGATGGGTGGCTTTGGGGGAGGGTTAAGTGAGAAAGTGGCTCTGAGTGTCATGGAAGCACTAAAGCCCTACTCTGAGGAGGGCTTGGGGCTTGGGGGCCCAGAGGCAAAGCTCTGACCATCCAACTTGGAGGACTACCACCTGGCCTAAAGCTTCACAGCTTGTCTACCCAGCCAGGCTCCTGGGGACGATTTGCTGGTACAACTGAGAAAGAGACCTCTTTCCACCAGAGTTGCTAGGCTGCTACAGGGTGAGCCAGCATTTGCAACAGCCATCTTTGGTTCCCAGGGAACTGGGCTTCCACTCACCGGGTCCACCTGACCAGCATAAGTCCGATGGCCAAACGGGATAAAGGAAGCAGAGCAAAACAACAGTGTGCTGTGCGTCTGCAAGAGAAAAGGTAGCTGTGAGCACGGGTCTCTGGTCCTGCCCTGGACCTGTTCCTGGGGCAGAAGCAACTTGGAGGACCACCACCTGGCCTAAAGCTGCATGGCTTGTCTACCCAGCCAGGCTCCTGGGGACAATTTGCTGGTATAACTAAGAAAGAGTCCTCTTTCTACCAGGGTTGCTTGGCTGCTGCTGAGTGAGCCAGCATTTGCAGCAGCCGTCTTTGCCACTGTGTAGAAAGAGGCTTCCTGAGAATAAAGCCAATCCAGAAGCTACTTTTGTTGGGAGGCCCTGTCAAAACCTGACTGTCCTGTGTCTCACTCCAACAGAGTTGCATTTTCTGCTTTCCAAGGTGACATAGATAGGTAATGTCTCAGACTAACTCAATTCTGTACTACACTTTCAGCAATATAGCTTTGTTAAAGCCTTCTGAAAATTCATTGTTGTAATCCCCAGCAGGTTTAATGCTGCTTCCTGATAGTTTTTTTAATTAAACTTTTTATTTTGAAATAATTATACACTTACATGCAATGAAGAAATAACAGAGGTGCTGGGTACCTTTTACCAATTTCCCCTAATGGTAACATCTTGCAAAACTATTACAATATCACAACTAGGATATTGACATTGATACAATCGAAATACAGAACATTTACATCACCAGAGGATTTTTCATGTTACCTTTTTATAGCTACACTTATTCCCTTCCCACCCCACACCCTCTTTAACCACTAATCTGTTCTCCATCTCTATAATTTTGTCATTTCAAGAACATTATATAAATGGAATCATACAGTATGTACCTTTGGGGATTGGCTTTTTTCATTCAGCCTAATTCTCTGCAGATTGATCCAGACTGGTTGTGTGTACAAATACTTTGTTCCTTTTTATTGCTAAGTGGTGCTCCATGGCATGGGTGTACCACAGTTTAACCATTTACCTATTGAAGGACATTTGGGTTGTTTCCAATTTGGGGCTATTATAAGTAAAGCTGCTAAGAACATTCCTATACAGGTTTCTGTGTGAATGCAAGTTTTTATTTCTCTTGGATAAATAAATGCTCAGGAGAGCAATTGCTGGGTCATATGGTAGTTGCATGTTTAGCTTTTTAAGACACTGCCAAACTGTTTACCAGAGTGGCCGTAGCATTCTACATTCCCACTCATGCTGTATGAGTGATGCAGTCACTCCATATTCTCGCCAGTATCTGGTAGGTATCACTGTTTTTCCTTTTAGCTATGCTGAAAATTATGTAATGTTATCTTGTTGTGGTTTTAATTTGTATTTCTCTAATAGCTAGTGATGTTGAATAACTTTTCATGTTTATTTGCCAACTGTCTAGGTCTCGTTGGGCTGCTAAAAAACAATACTATAGACTAGGTGGCTTATAAACAAGAGATTTATTTCCTACAGTCTGAAGGGTGAGGAGTCCAAGGTCAAGGTGCTGCAGACTGTGTCTGGTGTGGGCCCACTTCCTTCATACACAGATGTTTTCTCACTGTAACCTCACATGGTGGAAGGGGTGAGGGGTCTCCCTTGGGCCTCTTGTATAAGGGAACTAATCCCATTAATGAGGGCTCTGCTTTCATGACCTAATCACCTCCAAAGGCCTCACCTCCTAATACCAGGACCTTGGGGGTTAGGATTTCAACACATGACTTTGGGGGGAACACAAATGTTCAGATCACAGCACCATCTGTATATCCTCTTTGGTAAAATGTCTCTGCAAGTCTTTTGCTCATATTCTAATTGGATTGTTTCTTCTTTCACTGCAGAATTTTGAGAGTTCCTCAGAAGTTCTAGATGCTAGTCCTTTTTTTACATATGTGGTATGCAAATCTTTTTTTAAGTGGGTGTTAAATTTTGTCTAGTCTGCAACTTGCCTTTCTATTCTCTTAACAGGGTCTATTGCAGGAAAAAGTTTTTTATTTTGATGAAGACTGACATCAACTTTCGTGCTTTTGGTGTCAAGTCTCAGAACTCTTTGCCTACACCCAGAACCCAAAGATTTTGTTCTATTTTTTTCTAAATGTTTTATAGTTTTATATTTTACATGTTAAGGGCATGATACATTTTGAGTTAATTTTTGTATAAGATGTGAGACAAAGATTTTTTTTTTTCTTTTTTTTCTTTTTTCGTGACCGGTAACGGGATTGCAACCCTCAGTGTCGCGCCCGTACCACGACCGGCAACGGGATCGCAACCCTCGGTGCTGCACCCGTGCCGCGCTCAACCAGTGAGCGGACCGGTCTCTATATGGGACCCAAACCCTCGGCGGGAACGCCGCCACGCTCCCAAGCACCACACTCTACCGAGTGCGCCACCGGGCCGGCCCAGACAAAGATTTTTTTTTTAACCTATGAATATCCAATTGTTCCAGCTTCATTTTTGAAAATGTTATCTTTCCTCCATTGAATCACGTTTCCACTTTTGTCAGAACCCAGTTGAGCATATTTGCAGGTCTATTTCTGTATTCGCCATTCTGTTTCATTGATCTATGTACTCCTACCTTATTTTCCTTTTTCAAAATGGTTTTAGCTATTCTATTTCCTTTGCCTTTCCATATAAATTTTAGAATACTCATCTTTATCTACAAACAGTCTGACTGGGATTTTGATAGAAATCGGGCTAAACCTGTATATCAATTTGGGGAAAACTGACATCTTTACTTTGTTTAGTCTTCCAATCCCTGAATACGTTATGGGTCTCTATTTATTTAGATCTTTGATTTCTTTCACCAGTGTTGTGTAGTTTTCAGCATACAGATCCTGTACATGTTTTGTTATATTTATACCTAAGTATATCTCTTTTTTTGAGTAATTATAAATGGTATTTTAAAAATTTTGATATCTACATGTTCACTGCTAGTTTATCCTGCGATCTTTCTAAACATTCTGAGGGTTTTTTTGTTTTTGTTTTTGTTTTTTGTGGATGCGTTGGGATTTTCTATACAGACAATCATATAAACTGCAATTAGGGACACTTTTATTTCTTCTTTTCCAATATGTACAGCTTTTTCTATTCTTGCTTTATTGCATGGGCTACAACTTAAGCACTACAGTGGACAAGTGGTGAGAGCAAACATCCTTGCCTTGTTCCCATCTTAGGGACAAAGCATTCAGTCTCTCACCATTGGTATGATGTAGGTTTATTGTAGATGCTCTCTATCAAGTTCAGGAAGTTCCTCACCATGCCTATTTTTCTGAGAATTTTTATCATAAAAGGGTGTTTAATTTTGCTTTTTCTACATGGATAGATAGGATCGTGTGATTTTTTTCTTCTTTAGCCCATTAATTTGGTGGATGATATTTTCAAATAATGAACCATCCTTGCATCCTGGAACTAATCTGCTGGTTCATGGTTTATAATTCTTTCTCTATATTCCTGAATTCTATTTGCTAATATTGTAAGGATTTTTGCATCTATATTCATGAAGGATATTGGTCTGTAGTTTTCTTTCTTTCTTTTTGGTACTGTCTTTGTCAGGCTTTGGAATCTGGCTAATGCTAGCCTCATAAAATGACCTGGGAAGTGTCACTGCTGGGTGGAGGTGGGGGTTTCGGCTCCCTACCAGGCCTCCACTGATAGCTCCCTTGCTGGGAGAGTTTGAAGTGTTTCACTACTGCTTCCCACATGTATGGGAGAGTGTGGTCTCATTACTGATAGGTGATGGAGAAAGACCTACTCTCTACTAGGCCTCCTTTACACTCCCCCTTTTTCCCAAGAAGACAAAGATACCTTATTATTGTTGGGTGAGAATGAAAGTCCTGGCCCCTGTTTGACTTTCTCTGGCACTACCTCTGGTGGGGGATTGGAATAACTCAATATAGCCTGGTGAGAGTGGAAGTCCAGGCTCCCCACTGACCTTTGCTGGTGTGGGTAGGGGTGAGGCCACAGCTTTTTCTGTGATGTTGGGCTGGAGTGGAGCAATCATTGTCTAAAAGAAGTTTTCTGTCTTGCTAGGCTGGACCTTTGGCTGGAGACAGCAGGCTTTTGTTGGGGCTTTTTATGTCTGAGCTCATTGGTGTTTCTGGGTTGCCAGCTTCCTCAGCTCTAAGCCTGGGATATATGCAGCAAAAAGAAAACCTAGAGAACTCATCAATGTGTTGCTTCTTGGGTCCTGAGGTCCCTAGCTGGTCTACCTCCTTCTTTCCACCTTTTAGAGTCTTTTTATGCTTGTTTTATATAATATTCAGGGGTTTTAGTTGTATTTAGCAGGAGGAATAGAGAAAAGTACATTTACTCCATCTTCCTGGAAGTGGAAGTCTTGTTAGTTTTTGAATGAATATTAAACCAATAACGATAAGTGGAAGAGACAGGAGTGAGTGAGCAGCAGGTAACGTGGGAAAGAGGTGGAAGACAGACTTACTCTTTCTGCATGCCATTTTGTGCCATTTGAATTTTGTACCATGTAAATATTACCTATGCAAAATATTAGTTTTTTAAAACTTCATTAAAATGTGTTATCTAACAATCTTAAAGAATGTTCCGTTCACCAGACAAGAAACAAGGGTCCACTAGGAAAATCTGCCAAAGTAAGCCTCTGTCATTTTGAATTTCCACATTTGAATCTCTTTGGATTTTAAGTCCTTGTGCATGGATGATCTCCAGTGATCAGGACAGTGTGGTTAGTACACCCAAAGCTAGTGAAATGACTTTACCCATGGAGAATCACTCTGTTTTCCCATGATCCCCAGCATTGCTCTGCAAGAACAAGATGTCCCTGGTGGAACTGGATTTGTGCTTGTCTTCTGTGACACTGTGAAATATATATTTGGTCTTCATCCCCATCTCCTAGCATACAACTCCTAAAATCCTTAGAATCTCCAAAATGATCATTTCTTGTAAACCAATGAGTTGATAGATGGCTGGCAGCCCCTAGGCAGCTTCAGGATGAAGGCTGGTCACCAGAAAGACCAAGGCAAGATTAAAGGATTGGGACTTTCAGCCCCACCCCACAACCTCTAGGAAGGGGAGGAGGCTGCAGGTTGAATTGATC